TGATATACTCCCTTCTACAGGGATTACATCCTCAACACTGGAGCCCTCATCTTTCAACCAAGTAAGATTGCAATTCAAATGCCCATTGGGTGGGGAAGGACAATTCAAACTTCTGGGGTGACATCCCAAACACCTACTGTATGTAGTTATCATCAGTTTTCAGCTCTCAACCCAGGCACTTCACATCCTGAAAGTGCTATGTCATGCAGTGATGTCTCCACAGAGACAAGCTCAATGTAAGGACATGGCTTGCGTTGACATACAAAGGTGTCCAGATGTCACAGTTGCTCCTGCAAGAAAAAAAGAAAGAAAGTACAAGAAATGATTACATCATTTTTCAACTGGGAAGTTGTTGCATGAATAAAGAGGTGAGTGGATGGGCTGAATTCAGTTGGGTATAAACAGGGGAATAGTTTTCTGGGGGCGGGGCTCCAAAAAAACTCATGTGCTCCTGGAAGGGACTTTCTAATGAGGAGCAAAGGCAGAGTCTGTCATTTCTCCTTTTTCCAAAACCTCAATTCTTGAGTGATTTCTGAGTATTATTAGTCATCCTTTACTTTTCTCAACCACAGTTCCAGCCAACTTGGACTCAGTTTACTTGAACCTGCTATGTTTATCTAACCAGGTGGCTCTTTCATTCCTTCTTTCCATGTGAGTCTTTTATAAATGTGTTGAAATTCCTTTTTTCATATTCCTAATCTCCCTTCAATCTCAATTGGCAAGTATAAATTGTTTCCCATGAAACTCTGAAATTGATGTGTGTGGGAGCCAAACCCACATCTCTTATGCCCATGTCACATGTACTAACCACAGTACTAAGGACATTTGGAGATGAATGACTGTGGATGGGTCAATAAATGTCACTGGTGTCTACGAAAGACCCATTTGGAAGGTAAAAGCCTTTAATTGACAGGTGATAATGTAATAGGCACCAGCAGTTATGATAACACCTAGAGGATCAGAACCACAATCCAACAGTTCTAATGATAATATATTTGTATGATCATTCTCTCATTCTTTCATATTTAGCACGTCAGCGAGCAGAATGCAGAAGTGCGACCCTGTTCATGTTATGAAGCTGGGACTTGGAGCTACAGCAGTCGTCTGTGATCTCAAAAGTGATTGTCAAGCACAAATAAAGTGTCTTTGGCTGATTGATGGCTGCCTTCCCGGTGTTAAGCCTTAATTAAAACTCAGGCCCCCTTCTCGTCTCCCTTGACCACCTGCACAGGCCGTCGTCGGACTCTCGGAGTGTATGCGCCCCAAGCCCCAAGTTAACTTCCTCACTGTCCACTTTTCTGCCAACAACAACATCCTCAAGAGCTTTCTCCAGTCTGCGTCGCATGAAGAATAGAACGAATCATTCAGGAAAATACGACCCCTTCACGCCGCAAACAACTCAGATACTCTCGCCGCCTTGTTACCACTCATTAGCTTTCCGAAATGGTTTCAGCCATGACTCCGCTCGATCTTACTCTCGAGAAGGTGGGCATGGGCTCATATCAATGGAAACTCTTGTAAGCTAGAACCTCTGTCGTTGTTCCTTCTTGGACCAAATTGGTGTTTTTCACATTCTTTCATTTCCTCGTTTTGAGTGTCCATATTTGCATCTGTATTCATTGCTCAACGTGCTCACGATAGCTAATTATTAACAACTGTTGTGATGTACGTGAAGTAACTCATCCCCCATCACCAATTTGGGGCCTTAAACAACGATTTAATCGCACCATAGTTAATGTCGAAAATTGATGAACATTATTGAAGCTGAATCTGACTATATTTGTTAACTTTTTTGTTTATAAAATTGAAACTGGTTTCAAACTCTCCGTCTCCTTGACTTCGCCCATCACTAGAGTCTTGTGTGGCTGTAAGTTGAGAGCCCTAGCGATTTCCTCGACCAAATTGACCTGGGACTGCTCTGTTGAATACCGTTGATCTGAATTGTTCTCCATTTTGTCGAATTGACTGCACGGTGGTTGTCCGAACCCTTCAGTCGGATGGCTCTGTGACAATGTGAGATAAGCCTATGTTTTTGCTTCCTTTACTCTTCTGGTCCTGAGTAATTTTCCGTGATACAACGTTCGGACGGAAATTAAAATGGTTCACCTAGATGTGGCTTCAATCGGTCGCCGTCATATTGCCCCGGGTTCAAGGTCTGTTCAAGCGATATTCTTTTAGCTAGAGAGGTGTGGGGAGAGTCAGGTTTGGTTATAATCACAACAATTTTCGAAGCTTGAAATCCCATTCATTTGATTAGTTAGCTCTCATATGTGATTTTGAGCTGATGACTGGGCGATCGTTCTGGCGGTTTAGTACATTTTAGGATCACTGATCGATGGATCGGTCTACTATCCACTTCCATTTTCTTTGGAATGATGATTGGGGCATGGATATGGGGAAGCTGTTCGTACTGATTTCAGTTTACTAACCTCATCTCACGTGTCCGTACTGTTTAACAAGGATTTGTTGAATTATTCTAATGTTAAATGATCATGTTTTATCAAGACTCCGATTCGTACGGCCGTCGAGGACCTTTCAACGGAACATTACTGATGACTGCAATCTTCGGTCTTTTCTCTGGGTTCGCGCCTACCTTCGGCTGGCTATGTTTCTCGTTGGTCGGCCTCGGCATAGGCGTCGGTGGTTCAATGCCAACAGATGGCACATTGTTTATGGAAAATATACCAAAAACTCGTCACTACCTCCTTACTGGGCTCTCTGTCTTGTGGGCTGAAAATCGATCATATTTCTCATGAATCTACTCAGACTTACTGTACTAATGCTATCTGCTTTCTCCTCAACAGCTTTTCTTTTGGGGCCGTCATATCTTCATTTTTAGGATTACTCATTCTTCCTGGGTCGAGTTGCAAAGAGCCACCCACAGGCAAAACTTTGTTGTGCAACTCCCAAGTTGAGAACCTTGGCTGGAGATATTTACTGATCGTCCTCGGCGTGCTGGTCAGTATTCTCGTCTTGCAGAATACGAACTCTGAGATTAACAGAAAATTACATGGGGGAAGAAGTGCTGACTCAATAAATCCGCTCTTTTTGGATTCTTCGCCTCAGACCTTGATGATGTTTGCCTGCAGAGTAGCCCTATTCAACCTGGAAGAATCACCAAAATACTTGATTTCGCATGGCCGAGCAGCCGATGCAGTTTTGGTTTTGGAGTTCATCTCAGTCCAAAATGGAGCAGGCTTGACAATCACAGAAGCTGATGTGGAAGATAATTCGCCGGGAGAGGCTTCAGCTTTCGATCATCATTACAGTGCATTGGTAGACAACCCACAACCAAATGGCACCAACCCCCACACGAAACCAAATACCACTTTATCATACGTATCAGACAGCTGGAAGGCGCCATTCACACGTGGCATTGAAAATTTGAAATATCGGGTCTGGCTGCTCATGACCCCAGAACTCAAGATCACGACGGTCTTGGTTTGGGCAATTTGGGCAACAGTCTCATTTGCTTAGTGAGTTCACATTTCTTGCGTGTGAGAAAGCTAGCTACTTGCGTATCATCTTATTGACTAGTTGCACACAACAAATGGCATCAATAGCACTTCGTTCAACGTATTCTTACCGGCTTATCTGGAAAAACGGCATCGAGAAAAAAGTAGTATAGAAGAGACTTTGAAGGAGTACCTGCTTTATACGTTGGCCGGGTTCGCTGAGCAAAGAATTCATATTTCACGATTTCATAGTAGAACTCCCTCGAGAAATTGACATCAGTTTAATTGGTTTAATCTATTGGGAAAACAAAAGATGTCCAGCTAGTTTAATAGCATCTTGGATGATCGAAACCAGGTTAGGTCGAAAGAAAACGATGATTCTAAGTGCTCTAGGCACTTCATTAGGGATTGTCGCCTTTTTGAAAATCCAAAGTGATATTGGTATCAAAATCAGTAGCATGTTGATTTCTGTAATGGCAACCATTCTGTGTGAGTAAATGCTTCTCCTCCTCTTTGCTCCTATGTAATTATGCTGAGATTCACTTCGTTTCAAACACCCATTAAAAAAATTCGCAACTCCTTGGTACCTAGACGCGGTTATTTACGGTAAGAAAACTTTCATCGCTCCAAGTTATCTACATAACATACGTAAATCTCGTGTAGAAGTTATTTTAGCCAAGAAGTTTAACGTTTCTTCTATTTGTTCGCGAAAACAGGATATACCCCAGAGGTATTTCCCTCGTCCATCAGAGGCACGGGTTATGGAATTGCATCAGCACTAAGCAGATTATCAGGGATGATCGGACCGTTAATCGTGGGCTTCCTGATGAAGATCTGGAGCCTCCAGGCTGCCCTGTGGATCACCGTCTTGGTATTCCTTTTGGCGGCGGTATTGATTTGCAAATTACCGATCGAAACTCGTGGTTCTAACCCTGTCTTGACGGCTGTTGATGATCCTGAAACCATTTGATTACCGTTTACCCTTTCCTTTCAGGCCCAGCTTCAAGTCGCCCGCAAGTTTTTTTTGTCGGGCACAATCTCATCTTCATCGTCATTTCTGGCTGCATTTTGTCCCAAAAAGTCTTCAATTGTGTCACCTTTGTACATTCTGCAATATTAGCAATTACCACAGACATCCCAGCACATACACTTGTAGCTCGATAGAATTTACCTAATAGTTTTTGGAAGAGTAGGATTGTCAACTCTGTCTTGCTCATGCGTTGTATTCAGTCATCTTTCTCCACCACCGTCGATACTCCCAATTAGCCATAGGGCTGTCAAACCATCTCCTCGTTTCTGTATTGAAATTCCAAGTTTAAAGGCACTCCTGAAACCTCAATTAGTAACAAAAAGTCTCTTTCATTGTACTCCGTGTGATAGGTAAGAACCGCGACACGTACGACGCTCACCTCATGCGCTGTGGCTGCTCTGACAACCCTTCTTGGGCGTAAAAAGGACGACTAGTTAGCCGACGGCAAAATGTCCTGGAGCGGGCTGTCCCTGTACCAGCGGGCGGCAACGGGGGCCAAGCGCTAAAAGTATTTGCGACAACGGCAGGATTTGAACCTACGCGGAGAAACTCCAATTGATAGTAGACTCAATGCCTTAGATATTCTAGTCAATCGCCTTAACCGCTCGGCCACGTTGTCTTGGCGACAGTGGCGACATTTTTTCGGGACAATCTATCGGAGCAGGGATATTAGGTTCTGTGTATATTCGTGTGAAGGGCCAATAACATCCTAGAATATTCTAGAAATCCTCAACTTTTTAGTAACAACAGAAGCTTCCTGGGAATTTCAGCATGTCAACTGCAGGCAGTTGAGCAAGTCTTTTTTTTGCAATGTATGAGTGCAAAAAACACAATATTAATTAAGTGAGGAAAGAGAGAAAATAGAAAATACAGGAGCTTATATAGTCAAATGGGAGATAAAATCTTAGCAAGAGTGAAAAAAACAAATGGTCAAAGAACATGCAATAATGATGTCATAATGAGGGGAAGTGCTTTGAACAAGAAAGCAAAAGAGAGCAATCCATTTGAGGCCCCAGGTTTTCCAACCATAGATGAAGAGGGATTATTGATGTTGATTGAGAATGATCTCTGACAGATGAGTTTATGCCAAAGATAAAGGGGAGAGGACTTATGCTAGGAAGGATTGCTTAAGAAAGGGTGTCCAACAATTCTTGAATGTCTTCTTGTGAAAGTCATGTGTGATTGCTTTTGGTTCAAGAAATGTTGAGCTTTCATTGGTTGGAGGGTACATGTCAAGGATGTTAGTTGATTTAACATTTTGTGCTTTTGAACAAGAAGCTCTTGATTTAGAGCTGAGCCTAATTTAATGTGTGACAGAAATAATCAAACAGATCAATTATGAAAAATGGGGGAAAATTTGTCTTCCATATACTGGTCACCCTTGGTGATCTGAAGAAAAATTTTGAATTTATCTTAGCCTTTTCATTTTTTTTCTTATTATCTGCCTTTCCATTTTCTTGTCTTCTTACAATCTCTCACTTTTGCTTTTTCTGCAACTTTCAAAAAATCCATTCCTGTTTTGTCTTGAAATTCCCCATTTTGTTTCTGGAAATTTTTGACATGTTGATTGCTGTACAGCTTATCTCTATAGTTTTCATTCAATTGGTAACTGAATGTTTTTGTATTAATAATACATTATAAAGTCCCAAAACAAATGCCATCCATTAAATTTCAGGGGTTTATGAGTTTTTTAAATTTAAGTTTCTATGCGGAGAAACAAACCAGATCAAGCAAGATATGGTTTAAACATTATAACCACATACCCTTCGGTGTACAGAATTTTTTATGTGGTTTAGGAGGGAAAGAAAGAATATGAAGTACAATATTGTGGAGCCCAATTAGGATGTAGTATTGGTGGTTATACCCTTATAGATTCAGTTAGACAGGCTTCAATGAGGTTGAATTTATCATAGTACGGTATCTCCATAGCTTTCCAAAGCTTGAAAGTATTATTATTATTATTATTATTATTATTAAAAAATAATCACAGTTTTTATAGGAGAATATATCAATCATTTGGAAAATGGAACAATTAGACTTAATGAAAAGGACCTGATTACTATTGAGGGAGGCTCAAGTGTCCCAAAACATGTACTGAAAGAAAAGCTCAAGTGTGAATTTCAGGAACTGTGAGGTCAGAAAACATGACTGTGTTGGAATCTCTCACTCTCACTCTATCCTGTGTCTCTATTTCTCAGGTCCTGTGACAGCCTTGTGTTATCTTTCCTTTCACTTGTTTTCCTTTTATTCTCTTCTTTCTTTTCACTCATTCACTTTCTTCACTTAACTGTCTCAAACCTCTGTCAAACTCATCACTCAACGTCAGACCTCACTCATCCTCAATCTCTTTTGTCTTTTGTCAGAATTCCACTTTTTCCCGCTCACATTCTCCATTTCTCACATCACCCCCCCCCCCCCCCC